CAAAAATACGACTCAAAAGCCAACCTCCACCCTCTCCCCAAAAACCCTGCAGTCGTTGCCGTTGCGATAAATTGAATGTTAAGTACTCTTATTGCCCGAAAGTAATAACTACATGGAAAAGGACCGACCCCTTATAAAAGCGCGAAGGGCGCGCACAAATTTCATGATTTAACGCTCCTAGGCGACAAGCGGTGAAGAAGAGAAGGAAAAAAAAAATACCGAAAATAAAATATATTTGGCTCAATGTAAATCAACTGTAACAGCTTTCCACGATTTATCCAGCACCAAAGTAATTCATTTGTTTCCTCCCTTAACCTTTTGATTTCCATCTCTGTTTCTCTCTCTCTCTCTCTTACTTCTGTTTCGCATATATATGGAGTGAGAGAGAGATGCATATGCTCTCTTCTTTATTTTTATTTCTTTTTTTTAGGGCAAGCCGGAAATCTATCTTTTTGGAGCACATCCTCGCTCCAATACATTTTACAAATGGAATCCAAATGTTTTCGATGGGAGCATTCGTCATAGAGGGCACGCAGAGAGCTGGAGGAGAGGCTTGTCCCGGGCACATTTGATTTATTTCGATAAAACAAGCAATAAATCACGTTCCCATCAATGCGCACCAGATTCCCAGTTAAATCCACACACAGAGACACACACAAAAAGAGGAGAGAACGATAAAAAGGGAAAATAATCATTAAAGAACCCAACAAAAAAAAATTAAAGGGATGGGGTGTAGTTTAGTAGGTGATTTCCACTGGAAACCTACTTCCTGTTCATTGTCGACTAAATTGAAATCGGATTTAGTATCTTTTAATGATGAAACAATCTCAATCCTCGTAATGCTTTTTCAAGGCTTAAAAATCAATTTTGACAACTGATTATACAATAATCAAACCTCAATGCACATTTTAAAGCCTATAGTTATTACTTTAATTTCATTATTCAATCATCATCGGTCAAAAAGGATTACAACAAAATTTAAAAATACTGCTAAGTTTTGGTATTGAACTTTGACATTTTGAAAATTACGAACCATGATAGTATACACAATTTACAGCTTAATATGATTATTCCTCCTGGTTATCGATAAATACAACAAAGATATTGTCTTTTTCATGTTTACTTTTGAAATATTTACTTAATAGTTTGGAGTTTAATTGGATTATTATGGAGAAATACGATAAAATAGTATAAACTTCGAAAGCATAGTTGATCAAGTTAAAAGTTTTTACTTTAAAATCTTGATATTCATAAAACGTCTGGACTTGTTATCCATTCATTGTTATACAATCAGTGACAAAACGGTTTGCGAACTTTCGTAAACAGTATGCACAACAAGTGCCCGATGTTGTAAGCAAGCGTTCGTTTTCCCTAATTGTATTGATTCCACTTTAAAGTTTCGGCGAGAAACGAAAGAAAAAGGGAGAGAACAGAGAGTTAAAAAAAAAATATGTAGCTATGAAATTGTATATTTTCTCCCCTCGAGGCTCTCGGAAATTCCCGTGTAACGAGCCTCAAAACAAGCAGAAAAATAGACCCTAACGAAGGTTATTACCAATAATGATTAACGACCCCTTGCAGAACCATCACAGGGTTTAAATTCACTAATTGGAAAGAGGGGGACGACACGCGATACCGACTAAAAACCCTCTTTATTATTTCATGGTTTTTTTTTCCACCCTAAATCCGCGGTTCAGTTTTCTTTTGGAATCACCAGAAATTCATTATGCACAACGCGCAAACACTGCTGCAACCGCAAAATACTCTACTACTACTACTACTATTACATCCCCTTCAGTTCTTAAGCTCAACCGATGATTCAAAGGACGGGGCTAAATCTCAGTATTAAAATTAATTAGCAGCCTGCAAGTTTCCACATATTAAATATCGCGTTGGCCGCGAGAAATAAACCGGAGATTTAGCCGCCCCGGAGTCCCGAATTAGTTTGGAAAACTTCCGGCGAATATGTGGGATGAAGTGAGGGAGGAGGCACGGTCTCGGTGATGGGTTGGAAGGAGGAAGGGCGCTCGCTTTAAGTAGCTTTCAGTTTTCAGTCGAAAATTAATTCGCAATCTAGGCGGAGTGCGGTTGGGCACACTTCTTCAGAGCAGATGTCGACTTGATCGATGTAAGATGATGATGATGATCAAAGTGCAGCCGAGATCCTGATTTTTTTTTGTATTTTTCACTTTTTCCGTCCACCAAAGAAATTCCAATTTCCTTATCCTAAGAAACTAATACCAAAAGAAAAGAAAAACACAATTCTTCTCGAATAGAAAAGTATTGACAAAATGTAAACAGTTAAAATTCAAAGGTGAATATATTAGAATAAGTTTGGTCGGTTTTTAAAAAGGGCGATATGTAAAGATTTAAGGATAAAATATAGAAGTAAATTATTGAAGTCATCATTATCCATAAAAGATGAGCAGAGAATCACCGAACAAATTCAATATGCAAAATAGGGAAAATTGAGGCTGAAAGTGAGAGCTCAAGCTGATCCATCGATTGTGTTCGATGGAAAGTGGGGAAGTTCAAGTTATAAATTTACGATCGTTCGCAGTTCGTCGGGCAGAGCAAAACCGGACCATCATTTACCTTACAAAAATTTGATCGGCGTAAAATGAATTTCTTCCACGAAATGGGAAACCTCGCACGGCATCTTTCGCCACCACCGCCCTGAGGTCCCATAAAAAAAAAAACTAAACACACAGAAAGTGTGAGAAGAGGGAAAAACGAAGGGGAGGGCAAAAGCAAACGCCGTCATTTCGTGAGGGTTGCGTGGAAATTGAAATTAATTGCGCTTCGAATGGTTGCTGATTTATCGCGGCCGGAGGGATGAAAAAGAAAAGAGGAAGAGGCAACAACAACAACTACGTATATATGGTGTCACCCCATTTGTTATAGAGGTTGATTCATAAGGTGAAATAAATATTGAGTTATATAGTTTATGTGTTATATATATATGGGATAGATGGATGGAGCCGGTGATAGGTTTCGGCTGAAGTTAATACGATTTGATGTATGTATTGGGGCGGGTGGTTTTGGGGATCTAATAAGTTGGATGAGGAAATTAAGCCGGTCGTTTGTAATTATAAGCTTCGGAGTGGATTTGCTTGTGCGGATGGTGTGCATACGTTTGATAGATTAGAGGAAACCGTTGATCATCATCATCATCAACAGCAGCATCATCATAGCAGGCGCCCGCATCTCGATCGAAGAAAATTAATCGGCGAATGATCAAACGCGCGATGACTAATGGTGGCGCCCGTGTTTATGCAACACGTCCTCTCTCTCGCTCAGAGATTCATTCTTTCTTGCTATTGCATATTTCTTTTTATTTTTTTGTTCCCCCGTTTCTTGTTGCTTCCTGCGCCCTTATCAAAGTGAAACAGTAGTAAATAGGTTTTCAGTTGCAAGCGGAAAGGCAATTTATCCTCCGGGAAATAATAATAAAAGAGGTCGCATTCCGTATGTAGATGATGCCGCCTCGCGAACGGAGTGATTTCATTTCATAAACAGCCGACCCCTTTCCACTGCGAAGCCAAGCCGGAGCAGCAGGAGAAAACGAAGCACAGAAATGGAACTAGCACACACACATCTTGAGCGGAGAAGGAAAAAAAATGGGAGAGGAAGAAACGACGATGGAGAATAAAAAAAAAACAGAAAGGGATAAAATCTTCCTTGCTCAAGACCCGAGTAATCTTCAATTGTTTTTATTAGCTAACTAAATGCGGGGGTCCGGTAAAACGTTTTTCGCGATTTTATTGCAACCCATTTTGTTTGTGTGTCCGTGTGTATGTGTTGAGAGTGTAGCGACCGAAGAAGGAGACGGCGAAGGAAAAAGGGAAGAGAAGGGACACGGAAGGTCAGCTCCGGACGATTTAAAACAGAAAAAGGAAATTACTGGAAGGGCAAGTTGAGAACGAGATTACGCTAAAATACGCCGGTCTCGTAACGACGTTACACGTCGATTGAAACTACGCTACGTGACCGAAGGGCTAATAACGAAATAATGGCCGCAGCAAGGATTTATTAAAACACTTTCGATTAAAATTCGCCCTATGCGCCCTTGTTTCCGCAGTCCATCCGAGGATAATTAAATGCCATCGAGAGAGATGGAGAGAGAGAGAGAGTGAGTGAGAGATTGACCCTACTCTCAAGTTTGATGAACTTCGAAATCTGCGTGGCCTTTGGCTGCGCGATCTTTGACGATGGAAATATACGTGGTTTCCAATTTATTTTCGATACGCGTACAAAAGATAATCATTTGCCTTTCCCATGAAAAGGATACACTCAATTTCAGAATATTCCGGTTGAATCTTTTATTCTACACAAGATCAACAGTATAAGAACAAAAAGAAAATCATATTTGAAAAGTTATTTAGCTTAGAAGAACTTTTCTGAAAACCATTACAAAATCCTGAAATCACATATGCAGAATTGTAAGTGAAATGGGAAGACTTGAGAATGAAAAAGTCTTGAGGAATACAATTAAACTGGTTGTTTTATGTATTCTAATCCTCTTGATACAATTTGTTTTATATATATGATGTTTAAATTGTGTCGTTGAAGTTTGTTGTGAGTAATATCTTAGTAATGGGCAGACGTATTTTACTTGATATTATTCCCAATGTGCACTAAATATTTGAACAAGATTCCGTTTCGTCCTTTTCGCATCTTTTTCCGTTATTTATTTATGTATGCCTCGCAAAAGTTTCATGGACGGACGAGGTCGCGCGGCGCGCTTTTATGGAGCGGAAATATTTAAAAAGAAGCAGAGGCAAAATTCAGTAAAACGCAAACAAACTCTTGTTTCTTCTACTACTTCTTCTCCGACGTTCTCTCGTCTGCTCCTCATCCTCTCCCATGGAGCGCATATTAATATTTGCGTTCTGCACGAGGAGGAAAAAGCTATAAAGAAAATATCATTCGGATGGCACGAGCTTTGACAGGCGCAGGCGGCAGCAGCGGTGGCGGCTGCTAGAGAGTAGAGGCGGCAGCGCTCCGGTAGTGTGCAACGAGCACCGATGGCAGACGGCCGTTCTTAGACTTGAACCAGCGATGTGTGCCAGTTGTGGTGCGCGTAGTAAGTGGTCGAAGTCCGATTGAAGAAGCATGCGAACAGATGATGATGATGCTGCTAGTCCTCCAGTCGCTCCTGATCATGGTGTCAACGGTGCGGGCAGGCGATTATTGCCCGGAAGTGTGCGTGTGTCGCAACGAGGCGGCCGCATGTCGCACCGCCGGAGGAAATCTGACGGACTTCCGGTTGCCGGAAGGCACCGAGTCTCTGGAGCTGTCCGGAGATGTCGGAGACGATCTTCTGGACCTTCTGGATGAGATGGCGCAGTGGCCGGATCTGGTTTACTTGACTTTGAACGAAGTTTCGGATCTTCCGGACCTCTCGAACTACAGCATGTGCGGGCCGGATAGCCTCAGGTCCTTGGTTATAGCCGGGTGTCGCGTCGATTCCCTGCCTCGGCAATTCAATCTGAGCGGTTTGTTGACTTTGCAAGTGGTTGATGATGGGTTGAGAGTGATCGGAAGCGAGCAGTTCAGGACACTGGAAACTTTGGAGATGTTGAATCTAAGTGCGAACGCGATCGCGGTTATCGAGGGGGACGCTTTCGTCGGGTTAAACTCCTTGAGAAACTTGGATCTATCGCAGAACAAACTAAGCGAATTGGCAGATACAGTGCTGATTCCGTTAAACACTCTGCAGTACTTGAATCTAAGCAACAATCGGCTGGAGGTTTTGAACGAAGCCTGCTTCAGCAGTCTCGTCTATCTGCAGCAGCTAGACGTGTCTTGGAATCGACTATCCAAAGTAGCACCTGGTACTTTGGAACTTCCAAGCTTGGCGAGATTACTTCTAGCTGGAAACCCGAAACTGGGTGGAGGATCTCGTGAACCCGTTTTATTCGTGGGAACGGGCAGACGTTTGCAGACAGTGGATGCGTCACGAATTGGACTCAAACAAGTGCCGGCCGCCCTGACGCATTCCATACGCACTTTGAGGCTCGCCGGAAATTCCATTCCGAGCGTGAGCTGCGGCGATTTGGACTCGTATCCTTTGCTGCAACTTCTAGATTTCACTGCGAATGAACTTGCTGACATCGAGGAGGACGCTTTGGGAAGATTAGAATCGCTGACGGTTCTCTATTTGGCTGACAATAAGCTTCGCGCGATTCCTCACAGTTTACCGGAGAAGCTGCAGGTTCTGCATCTGGAACGCAATCAGATCGAGAGCATCAAGACGATAGATCTTCAAGGACTCTCGCACCTAAGCACTCTTCTGCTGCCAGGCAACAAGATTTCCTCCATAATGGAAACGGCGTTCTCGCAATTATCTTCGTTAAGCAGTCTGGATCTATCGCGGAATCCCATTACAAAATTACCCACTGGTATTTTAGCAGGACCGACCCAGTTGCGGGTTCTAAGACTGGCCGGGTTGAATGTAGTTTCGCCTGCTAAAGAATTGGAGTTTCCTCTACCAACTCCGGAGCATCTCATCACTCTGGATCTATCCAAGAGTCCGGGACTGGCGCGGCAGATGCTCGCGGATACCGCCGCCTTGGCGGCTTCCAGGGAATTGCAGGAGCTGAACATTGCGGACTCGGATTTAATATACGTGCGTTCCGATCTCTTGCATTTCCTTCCGCAGTTGCGAATGGTGCATCTGCATGATAATCCCCTCAACTGCAGCGGATTGGAATGGCTTGCGGAGTGGATGCGGAAGCAGGACGAGCCGGAATACAGGCGAGTATCGTGCGCATCTCCCGCCGACCTCAGAGGAACCCTTCTTGTGGATCTGCAGAGTATCGAACCAGAAACCACGACCATCCACCATGAAACTACCAGAGATGCAGTAGATGTCAACATCAACGTTACAGCCGCCACGGTTGCGGTCGTGCCGCTGCAGGGAGGAAACAAAGGCGCCGATAATAATTTGCCAGACAATAAAGTAGCGACGACAAAGGAGCCCATGAATACATTACGGGAAGCCGAAAAGGCGAACGAGAGTAATTTATTCATGGAAAACTGGAAGCGCGGCAACGTGACCGAAGCGACGGCGGAGATGTCCATGTACAACGGGAGCGACTCCAAGAACGCTCTCGCACATCCCAGCATGCTCATCCTCGTCGCAGGAGTGCTGCTGGCTGCAGCGATCCTCATAGTCTTCACGGCGAGGATAACCTACAGGAAGCACCGGCTGACCCACGACGAAGACATCGAGGTGAGCAGTCTGCCTAGCGTCACCGAGCTCTGGTGACATCTAAGGGACTTCGACGATGAACGCGTCGTCCTCTACGACACCATGACTTAGGAATACAAGTGCTTGTGATACATGTGACATAATTCGGACGAAACTTTCCTTTTGTACTTTATACTGAAATCCCAAAAAAAAAGAGAAACTCTGAAACTCCAAAAGAGGGCAAAAGTGGACGGACAGCCACAACATGCTCATCCCTTTTTTTTTTGTCTAGAATTCTAAGAAAACAAATTATAAATATATATATATTTAAATAAAAATAAATGAGAAATATATCCGTAAGAAAAATTTAAATAAATATAAATATTGAGGAAAAAAAAATTGTAAGTTTTGCTACTACTATAATTGTATATAAATGTCATATATTTATATTTACTTGTCCCCAACAACAACCACCACCCCCAGGAACAACAACCACAGACTACTACAAAAAAAAATAAGTAAAAGTATTGTTCATTGTGTTTTGTGATAGTCATTAAGATTCAAACAGGAAAAAAAAGAAGAAAAATTAATGAATAAAAAGAGTCATAGAGAGTACAGTATGCTTTTCATTACCATTTCCTTCACAATATTAGCTTAAGTCCTACAATCTTAGAAAATACAGCTAAATATTTTTTTTAGTAAACTGTTGTACACAAATAGCTTTGGTATAAATATTATAGCCTAATTTAAGAGAATGGTACAAAGCTTGATTAAATCATCTGCTTTATTTTATTTATTATTACTTTATGTAATAATAAATAAAATCTATATTTCTATTTTAGTTATCTCAATAATTATGTAATAAAAGATGTCAACTTTTTTTTTTATAATAATAATATTAAATATTTTTGTCGATATTCTGAAACTTTAAATTAAAAACTTATCATGTAGAAACATTGATGGTTTCGTCGAAGTAATATTTAACAACTATGTGCTACATTGAAAAGATAGCAATTCAAGTTGCAGAATCTGCAATCTCGTCTCGTCAATAAAAATTGTGAATCAACTTGCTTCACGCATCTCGATGAGACCAATAAAGATGTTTATGGATATTATTCCCTCTTTGTATGTGTGTATATATACGAAGACGCAGCGAGGCCGCATAATGGTGCTTCTTCTCCGCAGAACCCGGCCGCATAAATTCCTTTTCTGTTATGCAAGCAAGATACAGGCAATCTAATAGGGAATAATAAATAGGGTTTTGCTGTGTGCGCGCCTCGCGTTATTACCATCTGAATATTTCATTCGCGTTCCGCTCCGACATTAGTGCAAGTTAATCATTTTTAATTCACGACGTCGGGGGCGGCATGAGACGCAGATTGAATTCAAGTGAGGGAAAGAGAGAGAGAGAGAGATGATTCCCCTTTGTACCAAAGGTATACGTATACATGCGTGTATATGTGTGTAAACAGGGTTTAATTTTCAATTGGACCTCGGGCACGTAAATAATTCAGTAAGCGGGGGCCAATTCATTGTTTCGCGACTAGAAAGGGAGAGAGACGGCTAGCATTATTTTTCGGTTTTAAGAATTAAAAATTGAATAAAACATTGCGACGCGCGTTCCGGTCTCGAGACACCTAAATAATTGCGCAACTCTCATTCAATAAGGACTCCCAATTCGTACTCCTTTAGGACGCTTTTCAGAAACAGTCGACAAAACAAGCTCCGCAAAACGCAAATACCTTTTATTGCGTAACAAGGCTGGTAAATAACAAATAAGAAGGAGAAGAAAAATCCGAGATAAGTAAATAAGTACAGGTAAGCAGAGTGAAATGCAAATATCTCGAAAAGCCGCAACAAACGAAGGGACCGAAATGAACGAAGTGAAAAAAAAATATAAATAGGAACGGAGGGAAAACATTTTGATGGAATTACTTTTATAATTGGATGATCCAGTGGTTTGTGCAAAAAAAAATATATAATATAATGTTTGTACGCGTACGTTGATGTGAAGGGCAGAAGGAGTAAAATTAAATTTCACAAAAGGGCGCTTATCGCAGTTTTCTTCTTGCGAACGGAATAGAAACGTCAGTCGGGCGGGTAATGAATAACCAATAGGTACAATGCTATCAGTGTGAATAATTCAACGGACAACTATTGATCAAAAAAGCTTTTAGAAGAACTTTGTGGGGAAATAACAGGAAAGAAAAAATGAGACCGATCTAATTACATATTTAAAAATCCATAGTTTTCAATTCGATTTATCTAACTTCCATTCGAAGACAATTATTCAAAAGTTCTTCATACGAACTCTTCTAATCCACAATAGACTTAATTTAAAATTATAATTTGAGCTATTTTTAAAAGTAATTATAAAGTTCACCATAAGGAAGATAATACACGAGAATCTTCAAATATTAACACCATTTCGAACATCATAATGTTAAATAATTTAAATAAGTTAACAGAGAAAATTTTCAGTGTTAGATTTGATTTTGAAGAATGAATTATCAAATCACTTTCAACATTAGAAAATAAAATTATAGAAGGAATAGTTCAAATGGATGGGTCGATTGTTAAATGAAAATGTAAACTTTAAATCCTACTGCATGAATATGTACATTTCCATTTATCTGCTTGGAATGAGAGCAATTTTTGCACGTCTATTAAATGCCATCAGCAGGATTCATTTTGATGCATCGTTGCATGCAATGTATCGGCATTTCCTCCCTCGGCGTGATCTAATTTTAGTAGCGCGGTAAGTGAGAAGTGATTGACTCGGTTAATTGAATCCACACACGTACTAAACCCGTGTAATGAGGCGAGACGTTAACGAATTTGATGGACGGCCAACACCGAAAAGACATTATTTAGCATGCAATTGAATGCGTGCACAACGCGAGGATGATTATTGGTAGGTCGAAGTTGCCGCTGCAGCTATTAATCCTTTATTTATACGTGCGAGTCAAATTTCGCGGGCGAGTTGAAAAACGATCGTAAAATCGAGCTTTATTTTCGTTCTTCCTTTCGTAACTAAGCTCGCGCGATAAATTATATCCGGAGTGTCTACTATTTTATATACACACTCACCCGCACACATACAGAGAAAGAAAGAGAGGGATGAGGATTGGGATGGAAGAGGGACTCTGCACAATAGAAGGACGGTCGCCAGGAAATATTGGCAACGTTAAAAAGTTTTTTGAAAAGCTCATATATGGAGCGGGGATGGAATGGCTGTACTTTTAAACTTTTACGACTTTTTGATCCCTTAACATTCAAAATACTCGCGCCGCCGTCTCTTCCTTCTCCAACTCATCCTCCTTCTTCCTTCCACGGTCGGCGGAAAGAAGTAAAAAATGTTGAGAGAAGTAGGAAAGAAGGGATAAATCGCGCTCTCGACTTTACTTTCCTCCCCCCAAGTGGCTGAATAAAACTAGGCGCTTTTTTCTTCTCTCTTTCGCTACTGCTGTTGTTGTTGTTTGCTGCTCGACGTTTCTGAATACGCTTAAAGCGGGAGGACGGCTTTAATTCTGACGAGGGATGGTTTCATAATTGGAGCACGGAGCGGTGCGTCAGCGGGTTTTCTTCTCTATGATGCAGGTGCGTCGGATTGGGATCTCGCATTGCGGGCACGTACATTCTGCAAGGGTGGTATCCATCTATAGCCTAACCTTCCCACATCCCCGAGAAAAGCGGTCGCAGACATACGCGTGACCCAGGCGAGATTAACATGTCCGATCCGCCATACGTTTATGGATTCGAACACCTCCGTTTCCAGCCTCAAATGTCTTTATTGCTCAATCTTGCAACATATTTTCGTACTCCACATTCACATGTACAGAATATCTACTTCAGTATTATCACTAAACAGTTATTCTTAAATTCTTTATAGTCTTATTTATACAATAATATTGTATCACTACTGCATCTGAATATATGTCTTGAGTGTACTGAAATGACAAGTCGCCAAGATTGCCTTTATTTCCGGAGATTAAAATATCATATCCCTCCCTCTCTTTAATTTCCTTTCAATTTATTCCTACAAGTCCTTTTGCCCATCCTCAAAACAGGCCAAGCCTCGGAAACTACCGCAAAAACAAAGAAAAACAACAACAGCAGAAAAAAAATTGTGGCGCAGCAGAAAGATAAGATGCGTGCCTGCGACGCCATTATTTCCGTTTTCCTGCCAGGATTGACGTGCCAGACGACGACGAAGATGATGATGATGATGGTTTCAAAGGAGCTTCTGCTCGGCATTACGCGACGGCTTTCTTCCCGACGTCCTGGAAAATTCGAAACGAATCTCGACGTGTCAAAAAATTGGACCGGAGAGGGGACGAACTGCGAGATAGCTGAAGAATAAGCCCAAGAAGACGAGGAAAAAAAATCGTGGATGTGTAGGAAGGTGGAGGAGGAGGAGAAATAAGAACCGGGGAAAGCTAGAAAATCCGCCGTGGAAATTGAATGGGGCCCCCTTGGATTCTCGATTGGCGTAGATTTGTTTCCATTACTTTCGCGCCTCCTCCTCCTCTTCGCCACTCGGAATTTGGTAAAGAGGGGAGTAGAAGAGTAGTCTTATTTCGTGATCAGAAGTTGATGAATATTAATCTGCAAAGGGTTTTTAGCAGATTTAAATCGCAAATTTGCATGATTCAAAAGCGAATTACATGATTCTATATTTTATGACAGATTTCTTCCAAAATTATTTTAATTTACAAGAAACATAGAATAAGTTATAAATCTTAGGACACAAAAACCTATTGAAAATTTCTTTAAAGAAATAGTACAACAGTTGATCATATTTCACCTTTAAAATTGCCTATTTAAAAATATAATAATAGGAATTTTCTATTGGTATAGAAACAGTATTGCATGGATACACAACACCTGCATCCAAAACTGACGCAGAGTTAAAGCCTTTTTGTAAAATTCGCATTTGGGAACGTTGCAAATTGCTTTTCGATTAGACAATGGCTGGTGGAAAAAAAATACTGTCGTGCACACATTGGAAAGACAATGAAGCGAACGCCATTAGCGAATTTTATTTGACTCTGAATAATTTCGCAGGCGTTTCCGGAATTAAAGCGCGGCTCCAATTTGCATGTGACTAGCTAGCGTCAGCCCGGAAACAAAGAGGGACAGAACACATTCACTAGTATGTCTATATATATATATAGAGAGAGAGATAGATAGAATGCAGCTAGTGTCAGAGAGAAAGAGCGAGAGAGACGGAGATGAGGGTAAATAAAAGTGCATTTTGCTATACACTAATTACAAATAAATTTCGTGCGAATTAAGCGCGAAATTTATGCAGACCGCATCGCAGCACTTTTACCCACCGACAAAAAGCAGAGACAGAAACGAATACATACCAAAAAAAATCTAAAGAGAACAACTGAAGAACTAATTGCAATTCCTCTTTTTTACCTAGAATTTTATATAATATATTTGAGTAAAGCTAAATGATATTAATTCAGCTTTAATATAATAACAACTGAAGTTGAAAAATTAGTGTTTATACACATAATCTCTGTAAAACTTTCTATAAATTTATGAACAAATCAGAAGGAGTGCATCTTCTGATATAACAATCATTACGTGATACTAGTTAATAACCAAGCTATGGTATTTTATCTCATTTTGGAAATTTGTTTTTAACTCTACTTGGTCCATTTATTTCCTTCGGTTAGAAAGATGTGAACTCGTGTGAGTTCAGAGTCCCCTCCATATCAAAGTTATCGAAGCAATATTTCTCTGTAAACATTATGATGAAGGATATAACGTAAATATGAAGAGATTTTTCTTTCCCCTCGAAGCAGCGAAAGAAGAAAAAAAAGTTTAAAATGGCAAGAATATAGTGTATGGAGAGAGTGAGCGTTTGATCCGTTGAAATATATTAGCTAAATGGGCGATATAAAGTGGGGAATTCCCGCTGAGTCTCTGATGGGGGAATGGCCCAAGACGCATCGAGCGACACAACCCTCCAGCAGCATTCAATGGGATATTTATGTATGAAGACTTAAGACTTACCGCCTAGATCAGCGCAGAAGATCTCCTTGAGCGCCAGGAACTCCTCCTCCACGGCGATGTCGGCCGCTCCGAAGCAGTCATCCTCCGGCCAAACTTCCCTAATTGCGAGAAACAAAAAAATTGGATGAAGAAAATAAAAAGGGCAGAACATAAAAGGAAACCCAACGTCTTAATGTAATTGCTTAATGAACGTCCGCTTTGCTATCGCCTTTCCACCCTTTACATGCGGAATTACCTTGCCTTTCACCCTACGCTGAAGCACATGCGAAGAAGAGACTCCTTCCTCCTCGTCAGTGTGATTCCAAAGTTTCCGCGAATTCCAACAAACTTCATTAGCTAGCACAAACATACGTAACGGCGGCTGTAGCTGCAGCCGCCTTACATCAAGTTGTAAGTCTTTGCGTTTAAACACGTAATTACAACAATAGAGAACGTGTTGCGGTTCTGTTATTATTGTACCGGGGCGCTTGCATCCTCTTTCGCCCGATCCAACCACCCCCAAAGGGAGTCGCGTAGGTAGTTTACGTTTTGACTTATTAAGAACTTAAACGCCCTCCGGCGCCCCCTACTCATTCCCTTTTAACCCACCCCAACTATATAAACACAAGCGTACGACTCGCTTCCACTTAATTAGATAATCGAACTTTAGATGATGTTTCTTACGTAACGTACATACAAGCTGAATAAAACATGGCCTCATCATCTCCGAGCGCGGAGCGTATCGAAAGTCGTCTATGCATGCGGCGTACAGAGATCGTGCTTTCTAATTAGGCTTCAACCTACCACCAAATGCAAACCGGATTATCCGGTGAAGAATCTCTTTTGCAGCATTACAGATAGAGTGCTGAAAATTTAAAAATAAACTACTCGCAAGAAAGTGTTTCTCGTTACGCGAGTTTTTCACTCAACACTTTTCATCGAGGCCAGTAACTCCTTTATCAGACCGCACAATAAATCAACGATTCTCCCTCAGGCCAATTGAAATATACCTCTTTTTATACACGCGATTACCAAAGCCTATACGAAAACCAATAAGCCGATCCGATTGTTTATGGAAAAATCATAAATCGGTTTTTCTAGTAAAACCCTTCCCGGGAAATAATAATCTTTAATTCAGTATTTAGGCCAACGTTGTTTTCAACTATTGTGAAATATATTTTTCATTGTAATTGTAAAAAGAAAAATATATATTCAAAACTATATTTCATTATTGATTATGATTTTGAATGTTCTAATCTACATTTTAAAAGAATTGTCCGATATGAAAAGAAATAAGAGTAAATCGGAGTGAAACTGCGCGGAAGAACCTTTCGGACCTCAGCTGTATCTGTTGCTGCTTCTGCATACGCTTCCGGAATTAAATGAGAAGAAGACTCCAGAAGAAAAAGGATGAAAAAGAGGCCGAGAGAACAAGATCTGTGAATAATGCATCCGTCGTGTACGAGTGAGGGTGGATAGGACGAAATAAAATGTCGGAGCTCTCAATTATGATCAATATTTAACGAAAGCACACGTACCTGGAGGCCCTCAGGAGACCAATGGCATTTTCGAATTCATGATTGCGCAGCTTCCGTTGTATGTTTTTCATCGCCTCCGACCTAAAAAAAAGAAAAGAAACGTAAAGAACAGAACAATAACACAAAAAAAACAGAGATGAGGAGACGCGACTGGAATGGAAGGGACTCCTTTAATTACGCGTTCAAATTTTAAAGCAACATCGAATTTGAATCACAAAGAAAACAATTCCTAATTGAAAATTCGTTTCATCCAAATTATTATTATAAAAATCATATTTTATATTATCTTTTCTTATAGTATTATTAAGAAAGTATTGTTTTTTTTCTTTGGCGAATATTTCTTTTCCATTGTTGATAATCGTTAGATGGGAAAATTTTATTACTATCCAATCATTCGGTTTGTGAATGGGTTTTCCGTGAGTTCGCTCTGCCGAAAACGAAAACAAAAAGGAAATAAGGGAAAAGTGAGAGCCGGGGAAAAAGAGGAAGTGGAAAGCCGCACTTCGTTCAACTCAAATAGAAATCTGGGGCAAATTAAATACAGAACCGAAAGAGAGATAGAGAGAGAGAGAGAGACGATTAAAAGCTCAAACATAATTAGGAGAGAGGGATTTAACTCACTTCTGCTCATCGATGGGCACATCGGAGCCGGCGTCGAAAGGCACCACGTCCTTGGGGATCTCCAAATTCCCCTCTAAAACAACTGACAATTGTGCGGAGGCCTCGTCCCACATTCGCTCCAAATTCAATTCCACAGGCGCCGCCGTTTCCACACTTTCTTTCGCTGATGATTTCGCACGACCCACGGAGAAAATACGCAGCAAATGGATGGAAGTAAGTGTTCGGAGTGAAACAGAAAACAATGCATAAGTAAATGGAAAACGTAATAACATTACACAATAAATTTCAATTCAAACCTCTACAGGATTATTTATGATAACTAAAGAATTAGTTTTTAAATTTCTGATCCTCTAAATCAGCGTTTTCGAAACTGTGAGGCGTGAACTAGTCTAAGGGGAGGCGCGAATATTAGTAGCAGTAAGCAATTTTCCAAATATCTGCTAAAGTATAGATACATTCCTAGGGAGTAGCAGTGAGCAATTTTCCTAATATCTGCTAAAGTATAGATACATTCCTATGCTCTCATCCATATTGCAGTGATACGCGTTCAAATTTGAAAAATTGAAATTGGAACGTTCGAAAAAGCAGTGTTTTCACATTTCATTGATTTACTCGAAAACTATAATAGATAGAATGAATCCAATATATGCGCATGAAAGCTGAATATTTGGGGAATCCATCAAGTAAAGATACATTCCTATGCTCTTATCCATATTGCTGTGATACGCGTTCAAATTTGAAAAATTGA